AATGCATGGCTGTTTTTAGAGATGGGGTCTTGTTCTTATTCAGCCTGGAAACATTAAAAATATGGAACACTTCAAGAATTTGCTTGCCATCCTTGTGCAAGGGCCATGCTAATCTCTGTATCATTCCAATTTTAGTGTATATGCTGCTGAAGTGAACACATAGGCAGGGAGGGGAAGCAATTCTTATACAGTCCATCTCTTCCCCGCTGACTGAATCACAAAGGGTCTTCGAATAGGACTTCTAATCACAAATAGTCCTACTTCCTTAGACTCCCTGTTTAGGTCCCACTGCCTGGTGTTTCGACTCTGTAACTTCCATTGGATATTTCAAGGAAGACATACTGGTTTTCTCTGAGAAGCTGCCCTTTGCTGTACTTTTGGCTCAACTGCTGTAGCCCGGCAACTTGACATGTGCTTTTGTGAGTGTCTCAGTCCCTGGACAAGAACATACCTTTCTTTTGACCTCCAGGTTTCCCAGGCAGTGAGACCAGAGCTAGAGGCTAGGCATCACCTAAAAAGGAATTGAGGGGACAGGATTTGAGTTCCCAGGTGGAACTGAGCTGAGCACAGTCAGAGCTAGGTTCAGCCACCGGTGGCAGTGGCCTTTCTATGCCCTCTTCTAGTAAGTCTGCCTGACCATTTCCAGGATACCAGTGGTGAGCATGAGCTGGGATCTCCTTGGAGTGGGTACAGCAGACACAGGAGGGAGACCAGAGCAGGGCCTTTGGCGCACCTGGTTCAGGCAAGGGCCATAGCCATCAAAGTCTACTACATTCCCTGGGAGAGTACAGCATTTGTTCCTGCTAAAGACCAACCTTCTAAGTTTATCTCCTGTCTTCCCGAAGCTTCATAATTTTCAGAAAAATAATGGTAGTTGGGGAAACATTCATTTGAATGGAAGTTTCCGCAATGATAGTAGAGCAGGCAAATTGTACAGGGCTGAATGTGGCCTGGATGGCAGAGGGAAAGGAAAAGAAAAACATTTGGCACCAAAGGCAGCACACAGGAAGGTGGTCCATGTACCTGGGCCAGTTGCTGCTGCTGTTGAATTTATTCATTCATTCAACAGATATTTTATTGTGTACGTTTTCTGTATGTTATCCCTAGACCCTAGGGATGCCACGGGGGGAAAAGCAGAAATGTCACTGGCCTTTATAAAGCCTTCGTTGTTTTCCCCTTTTCCTAAATGTGTTTGTTAGAGGCTTAA